AAAGCAGCAGCTGTGCTTCTAGTTCTGGATTTAGCACAAAGGCAAAATGGTTGGTTACCGATCTCCACTATGAACAAGGTTGCAGAAGTTTTAGAAGTACCTCCAATGAGAATATATGAAGTGGCAACTTTTTATACAATGTATAATAGAAAGCCAGTTGGAAAGTATCACATTCAGGTCTGCACTACTACACCTTACATGCTTAGAAACTCTGACAGCATATTGGAAGCCATTCAGAAAAAGCTTGGAATAAAAGTTGGCGAGACTATGCCTGACAAACTCTTCACTCTAATAGAGGTGGAATGTTTAGGAGCCTGTGTAAATGCACCAATGGTTCAAATAAATGACAATTACTATGAGGATTTGATACCTAAAGATACTGAAGAAATTATCGATGAGCTCAAGGCTGGCAAAATGCCAAAACCTGGGCCAAGGAGTGGGCGATTCTCTTGTGAGCCAGCTGGAGGTCTTACCTTTCTGACTGAACTACCAAAAGGACCTGACTTTGGTGTGCAAGCAGGCTTATAATTTATATTCAACTGTAAATGTCACTGGAGAAATAATGTATAAACCTCCTAAAAAAAAAAAAAAAAAAAAAAAAAAAAAAAAAAAAAGAACAAAAAAGGGAAAAAGTGAAGAAAGCCTAAAAGAATTATGGGACACCAGCAAATAAACCAATGTACACATGATTAGAGTCCCAAAAGAAGCAGAAAAAGAAAAGGGGGAAAATAACTTAAAAGATGACAGAAAACTTCTCTAATTTGGGAAAAGATATAAATATCTACATACAGATGCTACTTAATTTACAATGGGTATAGTCTAATAAACCCATCCAAAGTTGGAATTATGTAAAAAATTATTTAATACACCTAAACAGCAAGGTAAACATCATAGCTTAGACTGGTCAGCCTAAACATACTCAGACCACTTAAATTAGCTTGCAGTTTGGCAAACTTATCTAACAAAAGTCTACCTCATAATAAAATATTTAATATCTCATATAATTTATTGAATATTGTACTAAAAATGAAAAATAGAATGGTTGTATGGATACTCAAAACACAGCTTCTACTGAATGTGTATGGCTTTCACATCATTTTAACTCAAAAAACTGTAAGTTGAACCACTCACTGTAAGTCAAGGACCATCTGTATGAAAGGCTCAAAAGTCTTCAATGAAGTTTAATCCAAACAAGAGTACACCAAGACATATAATAAGCAAATTCAGAAATCAAACTCAGAGAGGATCTCAAAAGCAGCAAGAGAAAATAAGCATATCACATACAAGGGAATGTCTATACAACTATTAGCAGATTTTTCAGCAGAAACCTTCTAGACCAAAAAGGAGTGGAATGATATATTAAAAATGCTGAAAGAGGGACCAGCAGTTGGCATAATGGCTATGCCGCTGGACTCCCACGTAGTCGACCACGGTTTGAGTCCCAGACCCGGTGGCTTAAATTCACACTGGGCATGTGTGTGTGCATGCCCAAGATCCTGAGAGAAGAATGGAGAAGGGATTGCAGCATGGCAATCCCCAATGGGAGGTGATTTTTCGCTTTCTGTTTCTCTGTCTCTGTCTTTCTGGCGAACACACATGCCCTGTAGCATAAACTTCTCAAAAATAAATGCTGAAAGAAAGACCAGCAAATGGCATAATAATTACATTGCTGGACTCCTATGTAGTTGACTAAAGTTCGAGTCCCCAACCTGGTGGCTTAAAACTCACACTGGGTGCATGTGTGCCCAAAATCCTGAGAGAATGGAGGAGAAGGGATTGTGGCATGGCCATCCTCCCAGGGGATGATTTCTTGCTTTCAGTTTCTCTGCCTCTCTCTCTCTCTGGTGAGCACATTTGTCAATAGCAACAATCTCTCTCTAAAAAACAAAATGCTGAAATAAAAATAACTACCTATCAGGAATACTTTACCCAGAAGAACTGTTCTTTAGAAATGAAGGAGAAAGACTTTCCCAAGGAGTTCATTACCACCAGGTCTGCCTTATAAGAAATGCTAAAGGGAGTTCTTCAAGATAAAAGGAAAGGATGCTAATTGGTAAAATGAAACCATATGAAAGTATAAAATTCACTGGTACAAGTAAGTGCACAGTCAAACTCAGAATAATGCTATCATGGTAGTACAAATCACTGACATTATTAGGTCATTGGGTCATACAGTCATGACTATACCAAAAAATGTGTATATTTGAACGTTAGAAAACAAAATACTAAAAGATAAGTATACCTACAATAATTTGTTAAGGGAAATACAATATAAAAAGTGTAAACTATTGGGTTGGTCCTATAGCAAGCACAGTGGTTAAATCCAGTATACTGGAAGCAAGATCTCGCATGGCTGACATTAGTTCAATTCCAGCCCTGTGGGATTGAAAAACATGCCAGACACATGTGCATGCCCCAAATCCAGACAGGATGGAAAAGTGGAGGAAAAAGGATTATGGTATGAACATGCCCTATTAAGGAGTACTCTCTCCCTCTCTCTCTGCTTCTGTCTCACTCTCTAATGAGTGCATGCACCCTCTGGTGATTAAAGAAGAAAATTTTAATGTAAATTGTGTGAACACAAAACAAAACAAAAAAATCACACACAAAAAAAACTCTCAAAAAAAAAATAAATGAAAGACTGAAGGAGAATAGGAATTCAACAAGGTTAGGAAGGATAGTCTTGCATTGTCATCAAGTTTACAGTATGAAGTGAAAAACGAAGTCTGAGGCAGAATGACAGTATGAAGACATCATCCAACTGGGCAGAAGATAAGACGAAAGCTCCCATAAGGCAGAGACTTTACTGCACTCACTATTGTAGAATTAACCAGTGATGAAGATGGCTGCTTAGGAATCCTGGTTCTAACTCTTCAAAGGTTTACTCAGAAACAGTCGCTAAGAGAGAAGATAGATACTATTACAGAGAATAGAAAGTCTGAGAGTAAAATGGCAGAAATTATTTAAAGGCCAGCAAAAAAAATTAAAATAAAAAATAAAAAGCCATTGTTGGATAGAGTTCATTCTGAGAGTCATAAGTCATAGAAGATGCTGCAGTAGTACTTTAAAATTTAAATTCCCCCTACAGACTCCAAAAAACAACAGAAGTGGGAATGAAAATATACGAAGATATATGTTATGGACATTTGCTCCCACCAGAAGGGAAAAAGTGTTAGCAGCCTTGAATCACAAATACCAACAGTATGCATGAAAGGATGAGTTTAATCATATCCTAGTGTTAAATAACTAAGATGGGTCTGAAGCTGGTTATTGATTTCCTAGAGTAAGAATGCCCTATTCATATTGGTTTGATGCCTGTGCTAGATCAATATCCACACTGAGGCTGGAAGCACTGCACAATCCTAAAACACACTATCCACATTGCAGTCTGTGTGGCTGGCATTCCCTGCAGCTGTACAGTGACAATCTGCCCATCCTGGTTCAGCCATATTGGTTCCAACAGCTTCCTGCGCTTGATCAAGACCTTCGGGTTTATAGGATAAATACATTGCATTCAAGAAAAGCCATGAAGCATTTTTGCTTAGAAAAATATGTTGTGACTTTTCTGACCTTATATACCCTGTCACCACTTTCTTAGTTTAAAATGTCTAAAATGTCAATGATAAATTTGTTTTATTGGAATAAGATGTAGTTAAAATTTTTCATATAATCTTGTCTTGGTTAATTTCTTGTACTTATTAACTGAGTATAATAAAGTCATGATAGCAGTGTCAACCACTCCCTGGTGACTAATGAAACATACTTTGAAGCCCCTAAGATGTGATCACCGCCACAAAGAAGCTGAGTCCTCATCCTGTTTCTAACTCAAGAAAAAAAACTCTAACGTTCTAAAGACACCAAAAGTGAGCAATCTGTGGCACTCACAGAGTGACTCTGTGTTAAACTCAGGAAGAGATAAAAAGACTTACTACCAATATTTAAACAAAACTCATACTCATTTCTCAGATGTTAAAATGAGATTAAGTACAGATAGGGACTGGAGTCATCAGGTAAATGCTATGTCAGCATTTCCAAAAAAAATTTCCATGGAATACTAAAAGGGTTCCATTGTCAAGAAATCTGAAATGCCACAACTACCCAACTAGGATCATCATGATACATATTAGCCTCATAAGGCTTTGAGAAGTACTATAGTAAAAACAGAACTGGCTTTGTTAACCCAGTGTTTCCCATGCTTATTTGATCAAAGAACCTGTTTGTTTCGTGGAATTATAATATGCAAAACAGAGTTTGGGAAATGCCACTCAAAGATTACCAGTATACATGAGCTATCTGTAAAGAATTAAAATCTAACAACATCCAAAACTAAAATGAAATGTCTTTGGTTATTAGAGAATACTAAAGAAAACTGCAGTACCTTAGGAACAACAAATGTTGCTTGATAGCTTTACTTGGCAAAAAATGACAACCAAAATAACATTTACTAGACATTCAGCGATACCAGAAAAAAAGGACTAAAAGCCTGTTTTATAGTACTCACTGTCACTTCTCACATACTCCTTATAAAATGGATAAAAACATACCAATACTTGGGGCTAACAGCACTCTAAGCGCTCAGTAAGAATGTATCATAACTGCATTTATTTCTTTTAAAATTCATTTACCAGAAAACATCCTGAACTCTCTGATTTCAGAAGCTCACGCCTTAGCAATAATCTTTCCTCACATTACCAACTATATTACAATTATCTATCTACTCATACAAAAACAGTGGCACCTACTGAAGATTATTACAATACTTACCACATTACAAAAAGAATCCAGACCAATGCTATGTACATACTTAGTACATTCTGGATTAGACCAAGTAAAATTTAACAACAAGCTGAACAGCATTCTATAAAACAAAAACAAAAAGTCAGTTAGGCTAATTCTGTCTATTTTTCTATACTATGGACTCATAGCGAGAAAGAAGATAGTTGTGGGAGTTGATGACTGAATAAAGTCTGAACTTTTCATCTAAAGTTATCTACACTTACCTCAGGAGAAGTTCTTTGGGTAACTTTTTGTTAATAAGACCTTCATCATTATTTGAGAAAACCTGGAAAGAAAGAAAGAGACACTATGAAGCTGTTCTTCAATCAACAACAACAAAAAAAGTAATTTTTAAAATACTGTTGGTAGATCAGGACCGCCCCCATCCTTTCCCTATGGATATGATGATATGAAATTCATGAAGCCACCGCATTCTAATATCAAACAACAGAAAATATTTTATACCTTATCACTATTTCAAAAAAACGGCAACGCAGAGACATTTGTTTACCACATTGTACCGGAGGTTCTACCAAGGTGATTAGACAAGGAAAAGTAATAAAAGGCATCCAGATTGGAAATGAAGAAGTAAAACAACCTCTAATCACAAGAGACACGATCTTGTATGCAGGAAACTACAAATCTAAGAAAAGTCAATTAAAACTAATTCTAGTTCAGCAAAGTTGCAGGATACAATATATGAATATGCAATACATTTATATGAAATACATTAATTTCCATATACTAGCAATGAACAACCTAAAAATGAATTTAGGAAAACAATCTCATTTACGACAGCATCAAAATTAATAAGATACTAAGGAATAAAATGAACAAAAGTAGTATAAGGCTTTCATATTGAAACCTTATACAAAACATTGTTGAAATTAAAGAAGACTGAAATAAATGGAATAAATTGATGTGACACTAATCATTGTGCTTCAAAGGACATTATAAAGAAAGAAAAAAGAAAACTCACAAAGCAGAAAATATTTGCACATCAAAAACATCACAAACATCCAGAGTATATAAAGAACTCCTGGATCCAACAGTCTGGCCCTGGGTCTATCAGTAGGGCTCCGTTGCTTGAGTAGTTACATGGGTTTGGTTCCCAGACCAACCTAAAATAACTCGGGCCCAGGAACATGCTGGTAATCCTAGCTCAACAGGAAGCAGGGGCAGAAGAATTGTGGCATGGCAAGATCCTGTCAAAAATACTCTTCCTCTACCTCAAAAACATTAAAAAAAAAAAAAAAAAAAAAACTATTGTTTTGGTTTAGAGACTCTGCCTAAAATTGTTTTAACATTTTTACTATTATATAATCAAGGCTCATAATGATATTATAATGTAATAGATAATTGCTGTTCAGTGCTATATGACCTCCATATCTTTTTTACCTGGGTTGATATCCATGACATTTTAGGGCCAGTTCTATTTTACTCATATTTAATGAATATTAAGTGATCACTTCGGGCGAGCGCACGCGCCCAAGGGCAAAAACCCCCCCAAAAAAAAAAAAAAAAAAAACAACCCCACAACTTAAATAATAAAATAATAACTCAGGGCTGGCTCTGTGGCACAGCAGTAATGCACTGTTCAAAGAAGTTGGATCCCACTTGGTGACCATGTTTTGAATCTCTGGCCCAGTCAACCTGAAACACATTAAACACACGTGTGACTGTCTGAGACCTGACCAGCTGGAGGAAGGGGTATGGCATGACCAGATGTTGTGAAGTGTGCTCCTCTCCCTCTCTCTCTCACGGGTGCACGCACAACCTCTTTCATGAATAAAGAAAAAAATAAATTAAAAAAAAAGAAGACAGGTCAGCCCTATGGCCTAGTGGTTAAGGGAGCTGGATCCCACATGACCAACCACAGTTCAAATCCAGGCCCTGGCAGCTTGAAAAAAGTGTTGGGTACATGTGGATGCATGACCCAAATCATGCCAGAATGATTTGGGGGGACGGTAGACTATGCTCCATTACAGGGTGCTTTCTCCCTCTTTGGCAAATGCATGCACTGTCTGGCAATAAAAAAGAAAAGAAAAACCCACAATTAGATACTCCACACCCATAAAGATGGTTGAAATGAAAGCGACAGATACCAACAAGAAATGGTGATATGAAGAAATTAGAACCCTCATACACTGCTGGTAGGAATGTAAAATATGACAGCCTCTTCAGGAAATAGTCTGCCACTTCCAGGAAAGCTTTTAAACAGTTACCATATGACCCAACAATCCTACTTGTAAATCAACTCAAGAGAAATGAAAACATGTCCACATAAAATCTTGTACATAAATGACTGAATAGCAGCATTATTCATAATGGCCAAAAAATAAAAATAATTCTAATGTCCATCAGATGATGAATGGGATAAACAAAATGTGGCATAAACACACAATGGACTACTCTTCAGCAGTAAAAAGGAATGAAATATTGATACCATATTACAACAGAAATTAGCCTTGAAAACATACTGCTACTAATAGCCAGCCAGCCACAAAAGGTCACAGACTGCATTATTCCATTTACATTAAATATCCAGAGAGACAAAAAATAGAGTAATGATTGCCTAAGTCTGGGAAGTGATTATTAGCAGGTACCGGCTTTCCTTTTAACGTTATGAAAATGTTCTTGAATGAGACAGTTGTGATGGTCATACAGTTGGGTGATTACACTAAAACCCACGGATCTACACATTTTAAGTAGTTGATGGTTATGAACAACTCAATTCTTAAAACACAGATTTACAAAAACAACAACACAGATTTGGTGCAATCGGCCAAGGCAAATTGCAAAAGGAGAAATAGTGCTGTTGGGGCCAGCAGGTGGCATGGTGGCTGAGGCACTGGACTCCCACATGACTAATCGCAGGTACAAGTCCTAGACCTGGCGACTTGCCTTCTCACTTTCTCTCTGTCTCTGTTGAGCCCAATAGCAAATTTAAAAACATAATAAATGAAATTAAATAAATAATTCTTAAAAAAAAAAAAGAAGAAATAGCGCCGTAAACAGTACCCTACATTTATTCTCAGAGCAGTGTCAATGATGAGTCTCAGTGGTGTGTAAAACTCTTTAGTAAGTGCCTGTATTCCAAGCTGTAAGCACTGTTATATAATTTAGCTAAATTCTCACTAAACTTTTTCTAGTTCCTTGCAGCATAAAGTTAATCTATTTTATATGTAGGCATTTACAACTATAAACTTCCCTTTGAGCACTGTTTTTGCTGCATCCCAAAGTTTTGATAAGTGTTTCCATTTCCATTCATCTCACATATCATTTCTTTGCTCATTCATTACTTTAAAAGTGTGTGTTTCAGGAACCAGCAGTTAGCGTAATGGCTATGTCGCTGGACTCCCACATAGTCGACCGCGGTTCGTGTCCCGGACCCGGTGGCTTAAAACTCACGCCAGGCCGCGTGTGCGTGCGTGCCCAAGATCCCGAGAGGAGAATGGAGGAGAAGGGATTGCGGCGTGACCATTCCCCCCCGGGGGGTGATTTCTCGCTTTCTGTCTCTATGTCTCTCTCTCTGTGTCTGTCTGGCGAGCGCACACACCCTACAATGAAAATCTCTCAAAAAAAAAAAAAAGGCACATCTATTCATGAGAGAATGAGAGAGAGAGAGAAGGAGAGAAAGTACCACCACCCCCATGAGTGATCCTTTATCATTCATTTCTTTATTCCATCAGGATTTGGGGGATATATGGACCCATGACCAGTGTGTTTTTAATGCTGCCAGGACCAGGACTCAAACTATGGTGGCCACGTGGGATCTAATTCCCTATACACTGTGCTTAACCACTGCACAGGGCTGGCCCAAGACTACGTTGTTTAATATCCACTTACTTGTGAAATTTTCAGTTTTTCTACTATCATTTCTAACTTTATTCCCCTGTGGTCAGTGAAGATATTTTGTATTTTCTTTTTTTTTTTAAGAATTATTTTATTTAACTTTATTAACATTATTTATTTATTCATTTATTCTAATTTGACCACAGAAGGACAGAGTGATAGGAAAGAGAGAAAGAGAGAGAGAGGGAAAAAGTAAGCCACCAGGTCCAAGACTCAAACCACAGTTGGCCACATGGGAGTCCGGTGCCCTTAATCACCACGTTACCTGCTGCTCCCTGTATTATTTCTTTTTTTAAGTTATTTCATTTTATTTATTGTTATTATTTTTTAATTTGACCAGAGAGAGAGAGGGAGGGAAAGCAAAGGAACAAGCCACCAGGTTCAGGACTCAAACCACGGTCAGCCACGTGGGAGTCCAAAACCTTAACCACCATGCCACCTGCTGGCCCCACTTTGTATTATTTCAGTCTTTTAAAATTGATTGAGACCTGTTTTGTAGTGTAAGGTAAGTTTATCCTGAAGATTATTCCATGCGCATTCTGCTCTGCCTAGGTGGACTGTTATATATATATCTCTATCGGATCTAGAGAGTTTATAGTGGTGTTCAAATGTTCTATTTCCTTATTGTTCTACTGTCTAAATTTTCTATTATTGGGAATATGGTATTTAAATCTCAAACTGGTGTCTGGGCTGGTGGTGGATAACACTACGGTATCTTCATCTATCTCAACAGCTGTCAGAAGGATGGGATTATTTTCCATTACTACAAAGACAAGTGAATCAGTTTCAAGAGTTCAACACAAATGGGGAGGGAGGGCTTCCTAGAGATTAGAATAGCTCATTCTACTCTTTGAAGCAGTGATGTTCCATCCACATAATTCCTGCAGACGCCACAGAACCAGGAATATCAACCAGAAAGAAACACCTCTTTCAGTGGGAGATATGATTAGGAAACCTTTAAGGAGTAAATCCGTAGGAAGTGGCTGAATCTGAGCAGGACGATGGTAACAGTCACAAGAGGAGGTTTGTTTAGATCCACAAGACACAGGGGCCAGGTAGCACGGTGGTTAAGGACATTGGACTCCCACATGGTCAACCATAGTTTGAGTCTTAGATCTGGCAGCTTTCTTCCTCACTTTCCGTTTATCTCTCTCACTCTGTCCCTCCCTGGTCAAATTACAATAAATAAGTAAATAAAGTTAAGTAAAATAATTGTTTTTTTAAAAAAACCTGCAAGATGAAAGATGTTCCACAGCTTCAGTCGATAATCAAAAACATTTAGCTTTACCTTCCACTTCTTCCTCTCTTTTTGCCTTATAAAAGAATAAACATGGCCAGTTACTTCCAACAGAGGTGCCCAGTCCACCTGATCCCTGCTTTCCTCTACTTGTGTGTCTGTGACTCTCTTTCCAATCTACTGTCGCTCCCCTT